AGTCGTCTTATACGCCGGAAAATACGGTATTGTAGGAAAACAGTATACTTGATCACTGTGGTGTTGGTGGTTGTGCTTCTCCTTCTCCTTCTCTTTACATATATTTATTTGAAATCCCTAAAAATAGTGCAGATTAATAGGTTGCTAAGATTATTTTAGTCCACTGCAATCCTGTTAAATGAAGCTAAGAGAAATAGAGGCAAGGAAGAGGAAGCTGAAGTATTTTTTTTAAGTACCCATGGGATCCCATGATTTCTTAGAGCTGTCAAAGGTCATCCCTTGTGGATGGTCTGATGTGGGCAACTTGTTGGCAGTGAATCAAACTCTTTTTGACTTTCTGTTTCTGCCACTTTCTTCCTTCTCTGCCTGTCTCTCCAACTATTGGGCTGCTGAGGATGGATTAATGCTTAGAAAATTTAGTGTCTCTCTGAACTGTAACTGTGTTTTATGATGATTCTCTTTCAGTTCCCAAACCAGCGGTCTTCCTGCAGCATGGATTGCTTGCTGATGGTAGCAACTGGGTGACAAACCTGGACTACAACAGCCTGGGGTTTCTGTTGGCTGATGCTGGCTATGATGTCTGGCTAGGAAACAGCAGAGGGAACACTTGGTCCAGGAAGCACATAAAGTACACTGTGGAACAAGAAGAATTCTGGATGTTCAGGTAGTGTGAACTTGTTTAACATAAGTGCATGTTCCCTGGTTTTCCCCATTTGGAGTATGTAATCACGCATACTCTTCTCCTTACAGTTTCTTTGTTTTTAATGGAACATGCATAGGAAAATAGAAATGTGACTCATAGCATTGCTTCTTCTGACCTATTACTGTCAGCAGGAGCAGAATTTCAGGCAGGATTCTTTCCTAGACTTCTCTGAAGATCTCTCATGTTCACCGCTAGGGCCCTATCACACTACACATTTATACCACTGTGATTCCACTTTAACTGCAATGACTGCATCCTGTGGAATCTGGGAATTGTAGTTTGGTGAGGCATTCTTTTGTTGAAAATTCAGAAAACTGCCAATCCCAGGATTAAATGGGATGGTACCATGGTGGTTAAAGTAGAATCATGCTCCTACAATTGTGTAGTGTGAATGGGCCCTAATCTGTCAGCCAAGTACCAACCAGGCCCAAGCTTACTTATCAGCCAGAATTAAAGATCGGGTGTGTCAAGGGTGGTAGGTAGATATTGTACAACTCAGGAATTACATAATTGAATGAAAGGCATAAGACCTGTGTTAAATGATAACAAATCAGTAGGTGTTAATAAATGAACTTCATTCAGGATGCATCTGGACAAGATATGACATGTCCTGATATGAATGCTTCAAATTCCCTATGAAGTTGCTGGAACTGGAATTTAACGCTCTTCAGGCATAGGGGAGGGTGCCTCCCACGTTTTTCCCTTGAAGTTGCCTTTCAAAATAGTTGTTTCTCCTGCTGCTTCCAGAAAAAGCATTTTCATGGGAGAAGGGGGGGATTTGTTTCCCATTTCTAATGAGCTTATGCTGTTCTTTTAATCATTCTTCCCACTGCCAATTTATGGAGGTCTGATGGCACATGGTTTGCTGCTGCTGAAGCTGTAGACCT